GACGATATTACAAATCAAGTGATTAACATCACGACTTGCAAGGAGATGTGGGACAAGTTGGAGAAGATGTACATGTCAAAATCGTTATCCAGCAAGCTGTATTTGAAACAGAAGTTATTTGGGCTCAAGATGGCGGAATCAGGCGATCTTATTGCTCATATTAACAGTTTCAACCAAATCATTGGAGATCTTACGCGTGTGGATGTGAAAATTGAGGACAAGGATAAAGCCATGATTCTGCTGTGTTCTCTTCCTCCTCAATACGAGACGTTGGTGACAGCTATTACAGTCGATAAAACGACTATATCGCTGGAGACGGTTTGTAGTTCGCTGCAATCTCATTGGGAAAGGCGGCAAAACACTACCGTGGGTGACAAGTCTCAAGGTGATGGTTTGTACGTGAGTAGCAACCAGCAACGAGGAAGGCAGAAAAAGAAACAGGATGGAACTAAAAAGGACAAGTCGAAGTCTAAACCAGGAAAGAATTCGATGTGCTTTGGTTGTGGTTAGAAAGGCCATTATCGAAGGGATTGTCCGAACAAGAAACAGAACGGTGGATCTGGTTCTGCAAATGCAGTTCAGAAGGAGGATTCAGATGAGAGTATAGGCGATTTGTTGGCTGTGACATCTGGTAATCACACAGACTTGTGGATCCTAGATACAGGTGCATCATACCATATGACTCCTCACAGAGAATGGTTTGAGACGTACAAGGCTGGAAATATGGGATCTGTTCAGTTGGCAAACGACATATCATGTGGTGTCATTGGTACTGGAGAGATCAAGTTTCGTATGCATGATGACATCATCAGAACATTGACTGATGTTAGGCACGTTCCAGGAGTGAAGAAAATTTTGATCTCTTTGGGGACTCTTCAAAGAAACGGATTCAGACTCAGAGGTGATGAAGATGAAGACGTGTTGAAGGTCTGTAAGGGTTCTTTGGTGGTGATTAAAGGAAACTTGACAGCCGGGAACGTCTATAAGATGTTAGGGAGTGTAGTTGTAGGTGGAGCTGCAGCTGCTGTGTCTGAATCCGATTGCACAGCTCTTTGGCATATGCATCTGGGGCATATAGGAGAGCATGGGTTGTTTGAACTCCATAAGAGGGGTCTTCTGGACGGGTTAAAGAGTTGCAAGATGGATTTCTGCAAGTTCTGTGTGATGGGAAAGCAGTCCAAAGTTTCGTTCAAGACAGGACAGCACACGACAAATGGTCTTTTAGACTATGTTCATTCTGATGTGTGGGGTCCAACTCGGGTACAGTCATTGGGAGGGTTTAGGTACTTTGTCATCTTCATTGATGAGTTTTCCAAGAAGGTTTGGGTGTACTTTATGAAGCAGAAATATGAAGTTTTTACAAACTTCAAGGTCTGGAAGGCTGAAGTAGAAAACTAGGTGGAGAGAAAAATTAAGTATCTGAGATCAGATAATGGCATAGAGTATACTGACGGGGAGTTTCAGAAGTTCTGTGAGGAGCATGGCATTCAAAGACACTTCACTGTCAAGAAAACGCCTCAGCAAAACGGTGTCAGTGAGAGGATGAACCGGACAATTGCAGAGGGCAAGGTGTTTGAGGTTGAATGCAGGGCTTCCTAAGCAGTTCTGGGCAGAGGCAGTAAACATGTCGGTCTACCTTATCAACAGGTCGCTTAGGAGTTCCTTAGAAGGGAAAGTCGCTGAAGAGATTTGGACTAGGACAGATGTTGACTGTCAAACTTGAAGATATTTGGATGTCCAGCTTACATGCTGGTTCCAAGTGACGAAAGGTCTAAGCTGGATTCAAAATCCAAGAAGTGCATATTTCTGGGTTTTGGAAAAGGAGTGAAAGGCTTCAAGTTATATGATCCTGTTGATAAGAAGAGGGTGTTCAGTCGATATGTGGTCTTTGATGAGCAATATATGGTGCAGCAGGCGAGATCAGAACGAGTGCCTGTGATCATTAAGACTGAAGCGGATTCTGGTACATCACAGGATGAGTCTAGTGAGCCTAGACAAGCAGCAGAACGTGATGAGCAACCTGTTGAGGTGGAGCAGGACGTTCAACATAGAAAAGCAGAGGAGAGTTTGGCACTTCAAAGACCAAGACGCATCATTAAGCCGCCTGAAAGGTTAGGGTTTGAAGACATGGCGAATTATGCTCTGATGGTTGGTTCAGGTGATCCAGCAAACTTTAGAGAGGCTATCTCAAGTCTTGAAAAAGATTTCTGGATTGGAGCTATGACAGAAGAGAATGAGAGCCTTGACAGGAATCAAACATGGGATCTAACGCCTTTACCAAAAGGCAAGAAGGCAATAGGATGCAAGTGGGTTTTCAAGGTAAAACCTGGGATGTCTGAGAAGGAACCAGTGAAGTACAAGGCAAGGTTGGTGGCAAAAGGTTACTCACAGAAGAAAAGGGTTGATTATGACGAAATATTCTCCCCAGTAGTTAGGCACACTTCTATTCGAGTTGTGCTGGGTTTAGTAGCGAGCTAGGATTTCCATCTTGATCAGATGGATGTAAAGACAGCATTTCTTCATGGAGATCTGGACGAAGAGATTTATATGGAGCAACCAGAAGGGTTTGTAAAACCAGGAGAGGAGAAGCTTGTGTGCAGACTTAAGAAGTCTCTGTATGGATTGAAGCAAGCTCCTAGGCAATGGTACAAACGTTTTGACTCCTACATGGTGAAGATTGGCTACAGAAGTTGTGAGTATGATTGCTGCGTCTATGTAAAGTATCTGGACGACCATTCTCCCATATACCTACTGCTTTATGTTGATGATATGCTCATTGCTGCAAAAGATATGGAGGATATTGATAAGCTGAAAGAGTTGTTGAAGAATGAGTTCGATATGAAGGATCTTGGTGCTGCAAAGAAGATCCTTGGGATGGAAATTCACAGAGAAAGAAGCTCAATGAGATTATGGCTTTCTCAAAAGAGCTATATTCAGAAGATTGTAGACAGGTTTGACATGAAAGATGCAAAGATAGTGTCTACATCTTTGACGATGCAGTGTCCTAAGTCTGATCAAGAGATCAGAGATATGTCGAAAGTTCTTTATGCAAGTGCAGTTGGTTGCTTGATGTATGCTATGGTGTGCACTAGACCTGATTTAGCACAAGCAGTTAGTCAAGTGAGCAAGTACATGTCCAATCCTGGAAGAGAAAAGCCGTCAAATGGATTTTCAGATACTTAAAGGGTACAAGTGATATTGGGCTTATGTTTGGTGGTCAAGAGAGTGGCTCAGTTGTGGGATATGTGGATTAAGATTATGCTGGTGATCTAGACAACAGACGATCTACTACAGGGTACGTTTTTACTCTTGCAGGAGGTCCTATTTGTTGGAGATCTGTGCTACAGTCTGTTGTTGCTATGTCTACCACCGAAGCTGAGTATATGGCAATGGGAGAGGCAGCTAAGGAAGAACTTTGGGTTAAGGGACTTGTGACAGAATTGGGTGTTGATCAAGGTGGAGTTCAGCTATACAGCGACAGCTAGAGTGCGTTGTTACTAGCCAAGAACCCGGTATATCATGCAAGGACGAAGCACATTCATGTCAGATTTCATAAGATCAGAGAGTTGTCTGCATCTGGAGAAGTCTTGTTGGAGAAGGTGCACACGTCAGAGAATGCAGCTGATATGTTGACCAAGCCCGTTACTGTGGAGAAGTTCAAGCATTGCTTGGATTTGCTCTATGTCTTCAAGTGCTGAAGAAAAAGAAATTCCCTCGGAAGTGATTGGAGTTTAAAGGTGACTTCATGGAGATTCTTTGTCAAGGTGGAGATTGTTGTTTCTGGTGACAAAGATAAACTAGGGTTTAGTGGGCTTCATTAGGTCATGGGCTTACGCAGATTCACTTGGGGGTGTGGTACGGTTTCCTGATAGGCTTGGAAAAAGGAAAAAGGAAAATCTTTTTTCTAGTGGGTTTAAGAGTCGGGTTTTTTTGAGGCTATAAATACAGGGCTTAAGGGTTTGTAATTATTCATTCACACAATTAATAATAAAACCCTAAACGGGTATTTGCCTCAATTTACAATTTCTTTCTAAGTTTTATTGCTTTCTTCGTGCTTGATTCACAACATTAACAATGCAATGACTTTCCAGACATACACATGGCCTCAAGTTTGGCAGGAGAACCAAGGATGGAAAATACAGAATAAGGAGTGAGGCTAAAATATGAGCCAGCGAATGTGTGCAAAGTGGCAAATGGTAAGACCAAATCAAACATAAACAAAAACTGAAGAGTAGATCATGTATCAGTTGCACTATTAAGGCCAACAGTGAACAGAAAGTCTTATCCAGAAAAAGGATAAAAAAGACATACCTATTCTAAGTCTCCTTTCACGTGAGCTTGAAGTCCCACTCTGAACACTCTTCACTATGTTACCTGACGCTTGGCTCTACAAGCACATAAACAATGTGTATGATTGAACCAAATTTTTTTTTAAGAAACCAAAAGCTACCAAAACCAAATGGTCGAAAAAAATAGCATCCTAGTGAAGCAACTCTCTAGATAATACTGAAAAGACAGCAGTCTTATAAACTAAAATCCGTTATCTATTATATAATTTCTATCGAGTATATTAACGATTGTGGCCAATTAAGCTAGTTACTTTGTAGTTTTGTTTTTTTTTTTCTATAATCTGGTCATAACAGCCTGACTGAAATGTATCATATAAATGGAGGTAAGGATCAAGTTTAAATGAGTTTGAGTATACCTGTCCAGCCGCATTCTTAGTGAATGTGACTTCATCAGAAAATAGAAATTCTCCAATACCTTCCCGCATAAGTCACATGCCCTACAAAAATCACATAAACGAAGCTCATAACTGGGAGTTAAAAAGAAGAAACCGCAAATCTAAAATCTTGAAACACTTACAATCCACCGTGGCCAGGGGATGTATTACGGGAACATGCTTACTACAATGGCCACACCACATCATAACTTAGCTAATAATACCAAAGACACCAAACAGCCCTAAGATAATGAACAGATCATTTCTGCAAAAAAAAAAAAAAAGTAGTGTAGCCAAACTCGAAATTCCATAAAGAGAGGAATACAAGCATTAATATCTTAATATATGAAACAGGAATATGGTTCATCCACTATCATAGTTCAAATATCTAACTCTCCATGAATGCATATAGTAGATTGCGTGTTTAAAATAAAAGCATATATTTCAATATCGAAAGGTCGTTATCATCATTAGCTCAAAATCAAATCAATATAAAACTAGGGATTTGAAGGGTTTCAGCCATTCCTGTAACGATGACCCAAGAACGATGCATAGATTTACAGATCAAGTTGAGAAAAATAAAAATACTCTTAAATCGACAGAGAAGGAATCAGAGCCGGAGAAGATAAAGAGAAAACCTGACATACCGTTCTAGCTGAGACGGCGGCGGAAGAAGGATCTCCGTCGATTTGCGATTGTTTTCTATCGGAGCTCGGTCTAGGCTAACGCAAAAGTTATTAAAATGGGCCAGAAATGGACCTGTCTAACTGTGAACCATGTCGTCCTCTACAGAGATCTCCCTATTCAAGGGTTCTACTTAGCTGGAGATTACACTAAGCAGAAGTACTTAGCTTCCATGGAAGGTGCTGTTCTCTCTGGCAAATTCTGCTCACAGTCTATTGTGCAGGTAAAGAATAACTATCTTGCCATTCAAAAATGCATACATCTGTTAACCAGTGACCCTGTATAGTAAATGATCCGGTTTTCGTTTATTAACCGTGTTTTGTCCCACCATGGAACTGTTCCGGTTCTTTAGAGATATTGCTTAGTCCGAATTTTTTAATTTAAGTTACTGATTTTTCAGGATTACGAGCTACTGGCTGCGTCTGGACCAAGTAAGTTATTGGAGGCGACTGTATCAACATGAGACGAGGAAGCTTAAAGATCATTGCTTTGTAAGAGCCACAATGGCGAATCCTTTCATGGAGTTCATCTTAAATTTTTAAATAATAAAACTAGATTTTATCCCGTGCGTCTGCACGACAATTTTTTTAATATAATATAATTTTTTTAAATTATATATAATTTTCTAATAAATAATAAATTTTTTTTTATTTAAATATAATTTATTTCTATTGATTTATTCTTTCTAGTATTATATATGACCGCGATTAGAAAAATATTATTCTAACCCGTCCGTCCGTTCATATTATCTGAAAAGTACTACAAATAAAAAATGTTATTATAACATGTTCATTTATATTAATCCAAAAAAACCGAGATTATTAAAACATTTAACATATTTGTTCACACTATTTATATATTTTAAATATTTATTAAGTTTAAATATTTAAATTTTAGACTTATTAATAAAAACATACAATATTATATCATTTTCATCATTGTCGTTGAATATTTAAATTAAATCTAAATTAATATCTGAGTTATTATTTTTGTAAAGATAGAATAATAACAACTTATTTTATAATTTTTGATAATATAACCTATATTTAAGGAAATCTATAACAAATTTAAATTAAAAACTAAATTTTTAGATTTATATTAAAATATAAATAAAATTACATTATTTTTGTTTGGCAACAGTTATCCAGAAACAACATACTAGGAAACCAAATAAAAATTATGTTTAGACACAAAACACCCTTTTCTTTTAATAGTATAGATTTTAAAAAGAGAAAATGTCAAAGAAGAAGGAAAATCTAAGAAGAGAGGAAGAGAAGAAAGAGAAAGAAAGAGAGAGAGAAAAAGAGAAGGTGGAAGAGAAAAAAGACCAACCAATAGAATTCTGACACGTTACATGAACCTTCCATAACCTGTTTCTAAAAGTTTTAAAATTAAAATCTGCTTTATAAAAATTGGATTTTATTCATTTATTTTAAATGGAAAAAACCAATGGAGAGAGTTCATATAATTCAAAATCACTAATTTTGAATTATACATATATATCGAAAATATATTTTTCATACAAAATAAAAACATAACAAATTAAAAATTATTGCATACACTATAATGTGGTTTGAAAAACCAGTTGTACACTCCCTTCGTTGATTAAATTTTAGAAAACTATAATGCTAAATAATACTGTTAATACATCTCAAACTTTTAACAAATATTTATATTATACGGTAATATGAACGGAAAAAATAGAATTATGTTTTTATAATAGGCCATTTTGAATTAATATTAGCGGACGGGTTAAAATTATATTTTTATAATCATAATTAATTTTAATACTATAAAAATATATCTAAACACAAAAATCAATATTTTTGTTTATTAAAAAATATATTTATAAAAATAATTATATCTAAACTTAAAAACACAAATTATATTACAAAATTCGTTAAACAATAAAAAAATATTCCTGTGCGGATGCACGGGGTTAGAATCTAGTAAAAATTATGTTTAGACACAAAACACCCTTCTCTTTTAATAGTATAGATTTTAAAAAGAGAAAATGTCAAAGAAGAAAGAAAGTCTAAGAAGAGAGGAAGAGAAGAAAGAGAAAGAGAGAGAGAGAGAAAAAGAGAAGGTGGAAGAGAAAAAAGACCAACCAATAGAATTCTGACACGTTACGCATGAACCTCCCATAACCTGTCTCTAAAAGTTTTAAAATTAAAATCTGCTTTATAAAAATTGGATTTCATTCATTTATTTTAAATGGAAAAAACCAATGAACCCCACCTAAAACTCTTTTAAGAGCCACTGTTCCAGATGCTCTAAGCATTATTTGTAACTTTTTGTGTGTAAAATCCAAAATTGACGCTACACTGTTGCAGTAAATAAATCTCACAGATTTGACATATCTCCTTTTCTGTTATTCTTATGTGGGAGATTTGGTTTAATATTCTAAAAATTTTTATATATTTTGAAAACTAACCCAGTTTAAAAAATCTTTGAAAACTAACTTTTTACTATTTAAAATTAACAAAAAACCTTAGTGCAGTTTATGTATTTAATCATTGATTAATACATTCACAAACCCATTGATTATTCACTACTAAACATAGAATCTACTATATTGAATATTAAAAATCCTACTTCATATAACTCAATCCAAAACCCTAGTATGATTAAAAGTCATCTCTTTAAGCTCTTTTTTTTTGACCTATCTCTTTAAGCTCTTTAGATTGTTAGTTATGAACTTATGATCAATGGAGAAAAATAAAAAAACGAAGAAAAATTAAAGAAGCGCCATGTAAACAAAAGCAAGCGTGTTATTTACTTAGTCCCATGATAACTCACAAGCCACAAGTAACTTTACTGTTGTTGGAGGAAAACAACGTATTTCTCCCCCACCAAATTTCACATGGTAACAGATCCACATGATCTTTGAGGTTCGTCATAAATCCACACATCTGCAAAGTTAAATACCTATTTCCCTCCAATTTGAAAGTTAAAAACATATATAACCTTTACTGCTGCTTTAATTGGTTTGTGAGCTTAACTGAAGATGAAACCCTATTGCTCGATTGCAGACAGTATTTTAAGACCCGACCAACCTGACCCAGAACCTAAACCGATCTGTAACCCGATCTGTAACCCTATCCATCTTATAACGACAACATTCTGAAATCCCCAAATCGATTTAAGAACCCTAAAGTCTAAAAATTCCCAAATCGACTGAGTAGATAAATTCCGAAAACCAGACGCCTCTTATGATGACGAACAACGACTCTGGGTCTTCTAGTGTCACCTCAGGTGGTCGGGAAAGAAGAAGAAGTGCAGGTGTGCCGAAAAGGTGCTGGTGTGGAGAAGAAATTATTGCGAGAATGTCAAAGTCTGATTCCAATCCATACTGGAGATATTATTGATGTGCATTTGCCATTGAGAAAAAGGTACACTGCTATATCTCCTATTGTCATTTGTAAGATCCCGAGTTGTCATTGTTTAGTGATTGTCTTGTTTTTTTGTAGCTTTCTGATGATAGCCACATTTTCAAGTGGGTCAATGATGCTTTGTTGAGTGAGATTGAGGCATTGACACTAAGAACTGAAAAACTTGAGCAAGTTGTGGCCGATATTACGAATGGGACAATGGAGGTGGCTAAGAAACTGTTTGAGGAGCTGCAAATGAAGCTAGAGAAAGAAACCGATGAAAGAGTGGAATAAGCTGTAGCTGAAGCTAAATATGATATGAAGAAAATGATGTTAATTATCTATTTTGGATGCATGATTGTTGTTGGGTGTACCAAACTTGTAGGTTGATGCTTTGTTAGCAAGCTTGATGTATGATGTGTGTTTTGTGTTTGTCATTGCTATTTGGTAGCTTGTTATTGCTTTTTCAGACCTTGTTATTGCTAGAGATTGTGACATTCATGTCTTTGTTATTTGAGAGTTTGTTATTTGGTTAAAATGATGTCTGTTTTTTGTGTTTGATTGCAAGCTTCTGATCATAAGATAACTAAAGCATCTGATCAATATAACTAAAGCATCTGATTATAACATAAAACAGGTTCATAACTAAAACAACTGATCATAAGTAGAATAAAATACACCTGATCATAACATAAAACAGATTCTAAACTAGCTGATAGAGTACCACAAAGACAGCCATAACACCATATGCCGCAAAACAAACTGATATAATACCAAAAAGACAAGCCGAGAACAAGCTGATAGAGTACCAAAAAGACAGCCATAATATCTTCTAAACAATATCAAAAGACATCTAAAAACATAAAAATTCTTCTCTTTCAATCCACTTGACTGAGAATTTCTTGTGAGGGTTCAACTTGAGATAATGCTTCAAGTAAAGGAACCTGCGAAAAAACAAGAACAATTAACATTAGCATAGACATCATATAAGTCATAAGAAAGAAAGAAGAACCACATATATTACCTCAGATGTTGACCCTTTCTTCTTCTTATTATGCCAGCGAGAGTTATGACCAGCAGCTCCACAAATACCACAATGCATGACCCTCCTCTTTTCCAATGGGTCTGCCCTCTTCGTAGGAGACTCATTCCTATCTCTCTTCCTCTTTTTAACTTGCTTTGTGACCTTCTCCTTTGCCTTATCCTTATCCTTTTTCCGACCAGACATATTTGGGATCTCAGGATGAACAATCGATGGCTCTTCTCCTCTAGGCCAAAACTTTGCACCTCTAATTGGAACAATCCCATCTACATACAG